AGTTCTCATACTCGTTCAGAGCGATTTTATTACTTCAACAGAATCGATTATCTGTTAAAACTTTCAAGCTCAATATTTCAAAAATTCAATATTTTGTACCAAATAAACTTGTGTGTTTTTGTTGCGAACCCCTCAAGTGGCGACCGCGTCTCGATTCCTCAGACGGAGACAGCAACAGCCGTCGTTCGCCGCATCCACAGTGCAGGTGTGGCGTGCTCCGCAGGGAGGCTGCGCGACGGCCGGCGCCTGGCGCGCGAACTGCGGGTCAGGGCCTCCGCGGCCGCCGCGACCCGCACTGCGGCTCCAGGAGGCTGTGCGCGGCCCCGCGATCGAACCGGGAGAGGAACACCCCTTCCACGTGGGCAGCAGGGGGAGAAACTTCACAGGCAAATACCGGCTCTCCCCTCCCCCTCACATTCGTATAAGGGAATGTATGGTTTCAAAACGTGATTGTATCCCTCCCACTCCTCACATACGTATCAACGCCTTGTATCGCTGTATCGAGATACTGCGTGTTTCTGAATTCGAGATACTGAGCGCCGCAATCTTACTATGGGATGAGGGTACCTAGAAGTTTGGAGCAAAGATGTAATAGAATAACCCAAAAGACTTATTTCTCTACATTTCGAAATGATGAGCACAACTCTACACCCACAACCTCCGAAGCCAGGTTTGAAGATCCTAAGGTGCACCGATTATGAGTTATGCACAATGATTTATTCATTGATTGATTAGCGACTGCGGGTGCGTTGACTGCTAAGGCCATTATTCCCTTTAGTGTGGTGCTTGTTTTATCGCGGGAGTTGTGTTGATCTCCCCTCGTTGGATCGCGAGATTCGGCGGCGACCTATCGTTGGCATGCGTGGTTTCCCCCACCAGGTATCTCCCACCAGCGGGGCACAGCTCCAGCCGGGGTAAGCTGTAGCTTCTGCCTGGCCTCCCGATGGGTAGTGGTGCAGTCCACGGCAGTGTGTGCATACGTAAGAGGCGAGGAAACGATAAGGAAGGGGAAGGAAAGATCGCACACGGTCGGCGGCCCGTTTATTTAGGGTACGGAATTCGCCTGGTGTTCATCGGAGAAACCACGGAAAACTACATAGCAGCTTCCTAGGATTCTCCTAGGCATTTTAGATTATTTGACACAGTGTACTATATTGCATTAAGCACATTAAATCCTTTGATGCGGCAATATAAAAATGATGGGGCTCCTGGATACCCTTGCCATCGCATGACGATTAAATATGAAAATTCCGTAGGTAAGCGCACTTTCACAACAAGCGTAATAACAAATATAATTTCATTTCGCATTTGTATTTTTGTATTTTCATTATTCAGTCGAAATCGAACCTGTTATATGGTTATGTTCCCAAGAGCCTGGGTATCTAATGAAATCAGCTCAATGCCCTTGTAGGGGCTTGGAGACACCTTGCGTCAATGTAAACGCAACAAATTTTTAAAAAAGAAAGAAAAAAACCATAGACACATTTCGCCTTGCGAATTTTGTATATTTTTCTTTCAATTTCTGCGTGAAATGGAAGTTAGTATTATAGATTCTATGCGACGAATCGGTTTTCACCATTCAGCATAGTGCAATTACGATATCGAAATATTAAATACTTTTACCATCCCCAATTCCACGGTTTCCGTTTTCCGTTCCTGCATTCCCTCCTTTCCCCTCTATTCATTCTCTTCCTCTTCCATCGTCTTCCCTTTCCTAACCGTTCCAATGTTGTGGCAACGACGGGCAGGCTGGAATTCGCCTGGTTCTGCCGAGCGTACCCCACAGCGCCCAGCGAGCATGTCTGGGCCTATTGGATCGTCTATCTTTCCATTTCCTCTTTGGCACGGCCCCAGAGAGCCCGTCGTGTTCGTGAAAGGAAATCGCTGTCGCGGCCCTCTGAAATGCAGACCCCCGCTGTTCCGTGCTCGTGGCGCACGTATGAAAGTGTTTGGAAGAGGAGGGAGGGGATTCAACACTGACAGGAACTGTGTAAACGAGAAAATATGTTCACGATAAAAATACGCCGAAAGGAAAATGTCTGGAGAAAGATGTAAATTATGACATGATTGGGAGCATATAAAAAAGGATTTTCGGTAAATAGTTTTAGATGTGGAGGTTCGGTTTCTCTGGAATTGAATTCTTACAAACTTCGATATTAGCAATACCTCAAAATTCAAACTTTTCTCCAAAACTGAACTTTTTGGGAAATTTTTTCTATACAATGCATACGAGATCGTTAATAAATTACATTTTGCGTAAAAGAGAAGTTTATTTTAAATGCACCAGCAGCGACTCTCGTAAAATTTTGATCATACAATATTCTTACACTAGTTTCTTAGAAACAACGCAGGACCCTAATCGGTTTAGAACGCACGGTTTTCTAGTTAGGAACGATGATTACGTATGTTGCAAACGAGAGTGACAGATTGCAAATGGGCCTGCCCATTTCTTTACAACAGTGTATTTAAAATTCTACAATGCCCGCCTTAAATATGTGATGCGCCATTCTGGAGTAACATCCTACTCTGTCTTCAGTAGCAAATAAAAAGAGATACCCTCCGGTCATTTACGGCACTTTCAGTTCACTTGCCGAAGACTAAAAGGGAAGCAGACTAAAAGGCAAGCGGGAATATAGGAATGATAGCATGACATTCCAAATCGAAGTAATTTACATCATGTTTTCAATAATGCTGATACTAAAGTACCATAACTAGGTATGATATTAATTTCGAATTTCAAGATCTATCTAACAAAAAGGAGTCAGTTAAATTTAGAAATCGTTTGATTGTACCATGAAGGTTTTCACAATGTGTTGACTTCAACAGCACCTACGTTTCAAGCAAAATTTGAAGACTGACGATAAAAGTAGTTAGAAGGCTTCACAAATTTGTTGAAAACACTTGTATGTCTAACTTTGACTACATAGTTACAAACAAAAACGTAATGGTTCGTTAAATATTCATAGTTTAGTGAATTGTACAAAAAATAATAAAAAGGGATTCTAACATGTCAGAAAATCAATAGGCTAACCAAGTTATCGGTCACTTATAGACATAGGGTCTACTGCGTTGCGAATAGGTTCAGAAACAAAGGCATAGACTGGATAATCTCGGATAGAGTCAATTGTTCTTTATCCTTGAAAAGGAAGAAAAAATGAACAGGGAAAATAATAAAACAAAAGAGGAGGTGGACGAAGAAGAAAAATGGAGAATTAAGAAGAAGGAGCTACGGGGAGGGGCTTAGGTTGCGAAATGTATTGAGAAACTCTAAAACCGCGGAACTCATTTTGATATAAATCCTTTGGAAAGGCAAAAAAGAAGAAAATTTGTCGTATCTAAACAGTTAACTTGACCACACGACTAACAGGAAGTGTTCAGAGCACTAACACAAAAGCTAACCAGAGAACTCGTAAAAGGACAACCACAGAAGCAACACTCGAGGCTGAAACATACCACAGGAACTGTTCAAACACTACCTATCTGTGGGCCAACTCCACGGCCCGGGCCCGCAAACTCAGGCGCCGTTCAGCTGCCCATCGGGTGAGTTTGCGCTTGGTGGTCCAGAGGCGAAGTTAGCTCGGCGCTGCGAGTTGGAAGTGATCAACTTTGCGAACAAGCTATTTGGACGCCGCCCAGGAGCCAGCAATGCCAGGAGGGCCACGCGGAACCGGATGAATTCGATTAGAAATGTCTTTCTGCTAGATTTGCTAAAACAAATGGCGGCGACCAGCCGATTGGCGATGACCAGCAGGTTGGCACCCAAAGTATCTGCGCTTCGGATATTGTCAACAGCAAAATATCTGGCACGTCTAATTTCCCTGTTCGTTAGAATTCCCCGTCTGGTTGCAGGGATGTTTTATTGAACTCATCTATCATGGTTATTACAGTTCATTAGCCATCGTATCACAAGTTTGTGCTTCCCACTATACCAAATTTCGTGCTGTTTTCTTTAAATGAAAGGTAGTGGGCTTCTGTGTTTAATCCCGCTATTGTTAACTGATATTATAGGCTAGTATAAACTGTTCATTGTTCCATTGTGTGAGTTGTAATTGATGCATGTATTCGCGTTTCATCTTCTTGAAAAAAATATGAGTGTAAATTTGCGAATTTCGTCGTGTTCGAAGAGGACTTTTAAATACAAAGACACGTGTATTAACTATTAACATAAAAATAAATCATTACAATTATATGTTGTGAGTTCACGAGGACAGCAAGATTTTGTTGCCTTAGTTCCCTACAACATACTACTCGTTCTGAATAAATACCATACATATGAAAGTTTTTAATTACATTTTCAGACAAAAATTCAACCCAGTGTTCATATTAAAACGTGACTGAATTGGTTCTGAATTTGAAAAGTTTCCTCATTTCATTAGTCTTAGAGACTTAATATTAAACGACGCTGTCAAATAGGATTTAAACAAATATATCTATAAATATTGTGCGAAAAATCCTGACGTGATGGGAAAAATGCAGATAATTTACGCCATCAGCACATCAAATAACATAAAAATCAATGAAAACATTTCTTGTATTTCTAAAAAATTCAAGTTCGCAGGCATGTGTTATATGAACTAGTGTATATAATCAGAAAAATTGACATTTCTTAGTAGGGTTTCTGATTTTAAAATTGTATGTTAATTCGCAAATTAAGTAGCGCTCATTATACAACAATAGATGGAATTTAAGTTATGTTCATACAAAAATGTGGTGAATAAGAAACCAGTAGCATACTCGTCTCATTTTAGGGCAACCCATTCACTTAGCTTCTTCACGAAGGCGCAGAGAATTAGTGACATGATGATAATACAAGGTGAGGGTCGCCGACAATAAGAAGAGCGAGGAAGAGAAAAAGATCAAAGAGGAGAAGGAGAGAGAAACTGAAGAAAATGATTAGCAGGAGGAAAAGGAGAACGTGAAAAGAGTACACGGAGGAGATTGTGGAGGAGGTGGGGGAGAAGGAAGACAAGCAGAAATCGAAGATTAGGCAGGGGACTCACCGCATGTTCATGACGAGGTCCTCGTGGTTGCCGCGGTTGAGGAAGACGCCGCCAGGCAGCGCCAGCAGGCACGCGAGCAGCAGCAGGAACACCTCCATGCCGTGGCGCCCGCGGTCCACGAAGTCTCCGTTGAACACGTACGGGTTCTCGGCCGACGGCAGCCCGTTCTGCAACCACGCGCGCGCGCACGCCAGCGTCAAATTCATGTTAGGCCCCATCACCCTGGGCGACTCCGAGCAACGCGTCTGGTGGCGAAGCAATGGTTTAAATGGAGGTATGCACACGAGCTGCGTACTTGTGCTGCTCTGGCGCTCGGCGGCAGACTCCCATAACCGGCAGCGCAGACTCGCGTACGTGCCACCGTCAGATAAACCGTCACCGTTCTAAATGTTAGCCTTCACACTAGACCACTTCCATGGATCCCTTCACTTGGAGCAACTCAGCAGCCTTCCTGCTGGCGAAGCATTGGTTTAAATGGAAGTATTCACACGAACGGAGCAACGGGGCACTCCCACCGCCAACAGGACAGACGAGGTTCCGCGCCACCGTCAGGGAAACGCGGTTATAAATAGAAGCCTTCTCACTAGACCACTCGGACGCGTCAATGAGCTTAAAATCCCTTCACATACAGCCAAGTTCCGATTGGGTCGCCTGCTTTGGTTTAAATGGAGGCATACACACGAGGAGCACTGCTATGGCGGTTAGTGGAGCTCGCCCGTCACCAGTAGCATAGACGCGTTTCCGCACCATCGCCAGCGTAACAGAGTTCTATGCAAATGGCAGCATTCACATGAAGTCACTCGGAGCACCACTGAGTTAACAATACCGGTAGCAGCAACAGCACTAGCGATTGGTCAACGCGCCCCTAGTCGATGGTCGTCCATGTTTGTGTCAGCGGTAGCGAAGGTAAAATTTCATACGAAATGTTTTAAGCAACAATACATGTTCTGAATTGTAAGTGACCTCTGATACACCGGACTATTTTTGTTACATATTCAACGGAGTAGATTTCATACACCAAGTTTGAAGTAAGAAAAACGTATTGTACTTATAGTCATAAATGTTCTTATGGTCATAATTTATAGTATCATAAACGTTAACACACATCATCACTCAATTAGATCCAAAAGAAAAACTGTATATTAAACATTTATAGAACATTGTTTCCTTCAAAGGACATAAAATTACACGATTCGCAAACAATTTTAACATGACATGTTCTTTTAAGACAAAAAAACAGTGCACACACTATATCTTGTTCTCAATTTTCTATATGTGCAACAAGTAGAAATTTGACAGCTACCCTGTTATTTTTGCAAAGTAAGTCGGTTACTTGATATGCAATTATCTAACAGTATATAGATAATAAATATGTAAGCCACGAAAGAAAAAATCTAAAAAGTAGGATGGCTACGTACGTAACCACAAGAAGTGTATAAAAAACTCACGCAATAATTGGTCGAAGCAAAATTCTGCGACAAATAAGCTGCTCTGATATTCACGAAAAGAGGATAGAAGGGTACGCAAAACTATGCATGAGCAATATCAATACAGAAAAAGAGTACACTTTTTAAATAAAATAAGAATTTGTCTTATTTACTTAGTTTTTCACAACCAATCAAAATATACTTATTGCATATCTGAAATTAACTCTTTCTTTGTAAAAAAAACTACTTAATATATACCTAAGAAAGAAGGGCAAATGAATTAACAATGTTTTCTCTAAATCACATATGTGCCATTTCCACATTACACGGTTCGATGCTCTTAGCATAGTCGCCTACGCATATTCAATGTCAAATACCAGAGGTCGCGTAACACCTGAATGGCGAATTTGCAAATTATTTTCCAATGAGCTTTCAACGAATCAGTCGGTTTAATCCAATATGACCAATACCACTCATTCATACGTTAATGCCAATTCGACACACCCCGCCAGGTATCATTAGGACCTGCGTTGCTGATTGATGGGGAATGCAAATGAACGGCTCCGATCAGCTCGAGGGGCGGGGTTCAAAACCCTGATGTGAAGCTGAACGATAACACGAAGTTATGAAAAGGTTAAACGAAAATAGGTTTGATTTCATTTATTTAGTCAAGGAACAGCAAAACTGTATGTGACTTAAGAGGGAGATGTATCCATCTGCGCTCATTTTCTGGTTCTCCAGAATCTCTTTGAAATATTTAAACTATAAATATATACAATACAAATCTCAACTCAAGCACTATATATCACTGTTAAAATATACATTGTTTTTCTTCTGATGATCACTATAGTCGTTGATGGTATAAAAACAGTTAAGCAGCAGAAAATATTTTACTCTTAAAGTAAATTTGTGTACCGATTTTTAATGTTTACTATCATCTTGCAATGTGTTGTAAAGTAACGTACATGTATTGTATGTGGATTTCTTGTAGTGAGTAGTTGATTCTGACGCCTGCTAAATGTGATTTCTATGACCTGTGTTGTAATTTTAAATACCACTATTGCATGAAAATATGTTCCCGGTTAAGTAAGTCAGTTTTGACAAAAACTACAGATTAAATGTATAAGAAAGGTAATGGTAAGATTCCAAGCTCAATGACGAGAGGCTTGCAAGAAACACGCGGATGGATTCTTGCACGTATATGCAGGAATAACGTGGTTTGAAAACTTGAAATGAAAATTGAAGTAGAATGTAACAGTGAATTGTTGTCTGTAAAATAATAATAATAATAATAATAATAATAATAATAATAATAACAATAATCATAATAATAATAATTCAAAGGATAGACGTAATAAAAACTTCTGGCCTTCCAATATAATTCTTATTTTCTGTTGACAAGTTTTACATAAGCTTTTTAATAATTAGCAATATTTTGCTACAGAACCTCATTAAAGCCTACAGGAGATACTTTATTTTACGTACTATGGTATTTTTTGAAATAAATTGTTAATTTTTAATATTATAAATAATAAATCGTGACGATTTCAAAAGAATGATTCCTCACTGAGCAACTGTGCGTTTACGATTATTAAGAGTAATAAAAAAGTGAAATATATTTGCTTTTGTCTGCCACTCGCGTACACTCGCGTGCGGCGGAACCATGATATTTAAGAAAACGTGCTTTACTAAAAAGTGGATAAAATGAAATATCGCATTCGACAGTAAAAATACTTCATCTACTCAAAGAAGATCGTTCACTCTCTCCTTATTTCGTGACGTCATTGCCTTTCTCACGTATCGTCTTTGCACGTCTTGCGTAATCTAATGCAATAAATTACCGCTAATATATCACACCGTAAAACCATTTAGCAGCCTTTTAATCCGCGCTGTTCGGCGCAATCGTTTCGAAGGAGGGTCGCACTCGCAGAAATCCACCCTTGGGCGCCTGCGCGGCTCGAGAGATCTCGCCTTAACGAGCGCGGTGGCGGCGGCGGCGGCCGCAACGACCCACGGGGAACCGCCTCGCGAATTCACGACCTCAGGGGGAGGGGGCGCCCCCACACACGAGAGCGTCCCGCCTTCCTCCTCTGGTACGAATTGTTGGCACGCAGGTGGCCAGGTTGCTTCACATTTGGCACAGTACTTCGAATACAATCGGTTATAACCATTCTTTGGGGCGAATTAATAACAAAGAGCATACACTTCAAACATACCGCGCCCGAGATTTTCCCTCAAAACCGCCGACTGCATTTCAGAGAGCAATACGTTATTTGTATAAAGAATCTCCTTGAAACTGCCTTCAAAGATGGCCGTGAGAGCGCGCCACATTTGAGATGCCGCAGTGAGCACGGGCAACGCTGTAATTTGAAGATTTCTAAGAAAAATTAGCTTCTGTCCGCTAAGACGCGACGCGATTACATTGGTTGAGAATTAGCAATCTCGAGGCAGATCGCATGTTGTGTGAAAACTAAGTAATACGCGCGAATCTGCTGCAGTGAAAGTGGAATTACTCACGTAGAGCTGGTTGCATTAGATTCTTCATGATCCATAGTGTTGGCGCGTTAACACCGTATGCATTTTAGCACGAGAGTAACAAAACACGATCGGAAAGGAAAACTATTTCCTTTCACCGTAAACGCAGGTAACAGTGACAATTTCTTCAATATTCATTGTGGAAAGCATATTCCTTACCCCAATATGTTCTAACAGTCTTAATACATGTTTTCAGAATCTTCCCATATGACCAGAGCTCAGAATCAGGTATTTATAATATTTATTTATATTACAAACATTCAAAACCGAATAAAATCTTAATTTAATGATTTACGCTTATTAAATTGATATTACGGAATTTTAAAATGCACGAGAAATATATGCTTCCAGTAATTTCAGCATAAATACGGCCACATCATAATTCCTCCTTTCAAACATCTCCCGCTTCTGGCCCTGTTGTTCTCCTTATTTTAGATGGAAGTTGCCCCCCCCCCATCCCAACCCACGGCCGCTCCTTCTGGATTCAGCGCTGGGAGGAGCAGGGGGCAAGGCGATGAGTTTCGTGAAGGGAAATTCAAATCACTATGGCGAGATTGGGGGATTTCTGCCCAAATGGGGTTATATAAAGTGCTTGTGGGAAGAAAATGGGTAACAGATACACTTGGGGAGAAACGTTCAAAGAAGATGGATTCTAAATTGAAGACAGAAACAAATGCACATTTTTTAAAATAATGATGATAACAAAAATACCTCATAAATAAGATTAAAAATCTGAGATATACACTTATGTTTTATTAAGTATGAATTCATAATAAAATATACATCGAGGTGACAAACGTCATGAGCAAGCAATTTTCAAATATGTAGATGGCAGTAGTAACGCGTACAAAAGATATGAGAAAGGGCAGAGCTTGGCAGAGCTTTCGTTTGTATTCAAGTGATTCGTGTGAAAAGGTTTCGTGTGAACATGATTTTGTCAGCAAGACAGAAATTAACAGAATTTGAACGGGGAATGAAAATCGGAGCTAGACGCATGAGACATTGCATTTCGGAAATCGCTAGGGAATTTAATATCCCAAGATCGAGTATCAAGAGCGAGTTGAGAAGCGATAAACTCTCACAAGGACAAAGCACTGACCGACGGCCTTTACTTAGTGACCGAGAGAAGCGGCGTCACATGGATTCTGGCAAGTCAACATGGATTTAGACTGAACGTGTTTGAAGAATTACTCTACTAGGTATAG